CAGGCAAATTTTAGGACCATATCACCCCTTACATCTGGCCGCCTAACTCCCTAGACTGCAACCCCCTTGATTATTATGTGTGGGCACATCTGTGCAAGAGACTAACAAAACTCCTTGTAACATCAAAGAAGGCAAGGATTATGGCAACTTAAACAAGGAGACCACCCAGGAGAGATGCAGAATATTCCGAAGTTGTCTGGAGGCTGTCATTGGCAATTTTATTGAATAAATTTACTCTTTAGTATTTCAAGATATTTTTATGTAATTTTGGTAAATATATTTGTTAAAATGTGATGCCAGTGTTATTTTCATTTTGTGTAATTTAGATGACAATTTATTCATTACACCCTGTATATATTGACCTGTGCTTGTAGGTTATTACAGATACAATCTATTTAAGGAGTAATGGCACTTGCTATGGAGATCACACTGAAATGTGAAGCTGATAGTCACTATGTCCTCTCTGTATGTATAAACTCTCTATTGCCAATACTTAACATTATTCACCTATATAGGATGTGAATGTGGTATAATGTATAGTGGCTCAGAGTGAGAAATCTGAGTTCAAATTTCAGTTGAGTTTATCAAATTCACTTACATGCAAATATTCTTGGGAAACTTATTCACGTCCTACCCACTGCTATTGATTAAATAGTAGACTGTATTTGAAAGTCATTGTTATTCTCAAAAAATTGTTAATGCAATATTCACTTGTAAAAAAAAATAATTATTCTTATAATTCAAAATGTGTTTTGGCTTTGAATAACCCATGAATGTTTGATAAACTGTAAAAAAAAAATCAAATCAATCACAACTTTCTCTGTGTATATATTTCAAATTTTAGTCAATATATGTGTGTGTGTGTGTGTGTGTTAAGGATTGATTAGAGAACTTGTATATGAGAATGGAAAGCAATAGTCAAGCAAAAAGTATCTCTGGAAAGTAATAAAAACTATTGCATGTCATATCAAAGTCAACAAAACAGTAGAAGAATTAATAAAATCAACAGATTAAATATTAAGGAAGGTTAAGAATGTCAAGTTCACATTAATAGAAGATAATCATTATTCTAGTATTTCAGATTTTGTGTTAATCAAACACATTTTTCATTAGTCTATCTTTTGAATTTATTTGCAAGCAAAAGTTCATGTTGCATTAATTTGTTTGCATAATAAAAATGAACACCCTGAAAAAATTATTATCAGTATATTTTTTTAATAAGGATTGATAAGACAAGATGAAACTCACATTGTATATTTATTATTTATATTTATTTTTTGTACATAGTTGAAAATTTTAGATAACTGTGCTGATTGAGATAATTTTTTAATCATTTCACCCCAAGCAAAGCGATAAAGCCACTAGGATGCAAGGGGTTACTGAGTGTTAGAAAATATGATAAAAATTACTATTAAGGACAGAGTGCAATAAAACAGCAAATATTAAGACAGAAGATAATGATTGACATTGCATTTAAATTTTTGAAGATCAAAGTTGACTAGGAAACAAGAAGCAAAAGAGAGTTCCACATGTGAGAAGTATGATAGAAGAAACTGTTAGTATATATCTTACAGTTACATCTAGCCATTTCAACTGTAAAATGATGAAACCTTGCCATCAATCAAGTATTGCACTTAAATTCATAAAGTCTAGGTATGATAGCAAAAAGTTCATGAGAACACTTACCATGAAAGAATTTACAGAAAAGGCACAGGGAAGCTACATTATGGCAGTAGGAAAGTGACTGAAGTCAGGACCAATAAAATTACAGATTCTTCTTTGGATTTGATCTTTAAATATATAGCAGGAGCACCAGACCATATATGGCAGAAATAAAGCATGGTTGAATGGTAAATTTATAAGATAGATTCTAGTGAGAAAAATTGTCTAGCACAACATACTGAAACAACTTTCTTAGCTGCAGACTTAGAAATTGATTCAATATACTCTTTCCACTTCATGTCAACTGAAAATATAATCCGAGAATGCCCAATGAGCCATTCTCCTGGAGGTTAACATTAACCATGCTGATAGAAGTTAAAAAGGGTTCTCTCTGCTGATTAATAGAACAATTTCATTTTTGAGGTGTTAAAATTAACAAGCCACTCTTTATTCCATATAACAACAGATTGTAGGTCATTTTTGATATCTGCTGCGAATTTGACTGTATTGAAGTGATCAGACTTACTATTAAGACAGGAGTAAATAGTTTTGCCATCAGCATAGATACTGAGTTGAGAATTGTTGACATCAGGATAGTAATTTATGAAAATTAGAAACAATGTAAGTTCAAGGATAGAGACCTGGAGAACACCTGCATTTATGAAAAAAAGATCTAGAAAGTAGCCATTCAAGAAAACTTTCATTTTGTGATATGATAAGACTGACTCTGCTCAAAAATTTGTTCCGAAATACCATAACCTTTCAATTTGTGAACAAGACCAGTATGCCAAACCCTGTCAAATGCCTTTGTGATATCTAAAGCAATAGTCTGAGTTTCACCATTCTTATCTAAAGCTTGATAAACTCTTTCAGTAATAATTATTAAATCATTAACACATCTGCAGTTGACCTAGAGAAGCAAAAGCCATATTGCTTATATAAAAAAAGACCCTGCAATGTGAGATGCCTAACCAGTTCAGAGTTAATTAGAGCCTGTAGTAATTTGCCAAAAAGATAGGTTTATATGCAATGACTATCTCACAAAATCAAAAATAAATCTCTTCCTACTGATCAACAGAATCATATATATATATATATATATATATATATATATATATATATAAACTCAAAGCCAAATGATAGAAAAACAAAGGAAAATGTATAATTAGGGAGTATAAGAAGACAATAAAATGATGAAAAGATGAAATAACCACAACATTCTACATGTGGACACACACACACACACACACATATATATATATATATATATATATATATATATATATATATATATATATATATATATATATATATTTTCTATAAAATTGATTCTGTTTTTATTTATTTTTATTTTTTTCAGATACTGGTGTCAAAATATACACTGATTTTTTTCAGTATAATTTTTTTAAAAATTGAAATAAAAAATACATTGTTTTTATTCTTGTATCAGCTATGTGGTAATATAAATGAATTCTTGACACATTGGCCAGTAACCTTCTCTGATAATAATAGTAGAAAAACAATATAAACATTCTTGAAATTATTCATTAAAATTGCAGCAAGCATATAATTAAAAGAGAATGGAGTTGAAGCAAGTGTGCAATCAAGTGTTCAGAAGTGTAGCAAGTAAGCAATTAAAAATAGACAGAATTATAGCAAGTTAACAATTAGGAGTGAAAAGAATTGTAGCAAGTGAGAAGAAAATTCTGTCAAATGAGCAATTAAAAATGAATACAGCTGTAACAAGTGAGCAATGAAGAATGAACAGAATTTTAGCAAGTGAACAAATATGAGGCAAAAGTCACAAAAATTATTTTCCATACTTCTTTCCTACAAAAAGATATGCTTTTTATTAAATATGTAACAAGTATAAACTCTTGAGACATTGAACTAATTTTTTATCATAGAAGAAAAACAAAACCAACATTATTATATGGTTGATATTAGTTATCCCTTTATTTTGATACAGAATGGAGGAAGGAATAGGTTCCCTATTTCAAATTAATCTGACCACCTCAGTCAGTGTGAGTTGCAGCACATGCATAATGAAGTGTTGTTGACTGAAAATACATGTAAAGCGAACCTGGACATGAATATTAAAGTAAATATTTGTCATTTTTATATCTGCATTCTGTGCCCAACTACACATCAGCAATTTGTGATGCATCCTTATTTTACCTTAGCCATACTCTCAAAGATGTATCATTCAATGACATGCTGTACCTGCCTTTAAACATGTCATACAAAATCTTCTTAAATCATTTGGCATTTACTAAGAACTACACGACCACAACTTTCTTTGATCAAGTCACATTAATATGACCATCTTAAGACACAATATTATGATAACATTCTTTGGCCACATTGCATTGGTATGACCTTTTTAGCCCCCATCAACTTACCATGGTCAACTTTGATGATACCCTATTGCAATGAATCTCCAGGTACACCATTTTAAAATGAATCTCTTTGACCACCCCATATTACAATTGTCCTTCTTTGGTAACAAGAAATATGACCCCCTCTGGCCATATTCCATTATCATAAATCGCTTTGGTCACACAATATTATTATAACTCTCTTTGGTCATAACATATTACTATAAACATTTTTGGTTACATTATATTACCAAGATCATCTTTGGTCACCTGATATTACAATGATCCTCTTTGGACACTCTACATTACAATGACAACTTTGGTCACACCACATCAACATGACCTTCTCTGCTCGTGCCTGATTTCTGAAAAGATTTTTAAAATTTTTAATGTTTCAATTAAAAAGTACATTTGCTCTTGTATTTATTAAAATCACAATTGTATATTATTTGCATACCAACACACACAATACACAAACATATTTATATGTTAAATAGTAGAGAAAAGTTGACTCTCTTGCCTTGGGTGACAACTCATCTAGGAGAAGGAAATCTCTGAATTCAAACTTGAGAAGAGCTGTTTGGAGACCTTGTAAGCACACTGTGCATCGTTTCTCTGTTTTCAGCTTTGAAAACTGTGGCTAGTTCCGTACAAGCCTTCACCACTATAATCAAATCATCTGTCTGGGTAGTCTAGCGGTTCAGTTGTAAACAGAACTGTTGGGTTTTAATCTACCAAAATTGAAGGAAGAGATCATCAGCATATATATTATTTTTTATCAGAGTTATGGCTGTGATATGCATGATACAATGATGTGTCCTCCTCTCCTAATCTAAGTGTTTTTAACTGGTTCTTGTCTAAATAAACCTAAACAAATTGATCTACATTCTTTTTATCTGTGCCTCTTCATTGTAAATTCTTGCTCTTCTTTTCCTTTATATATTTATTCATTTCTTTAACATGTACTCCTTTCTTTTTTACTCTAATCTGTTGATCACTTTTTCACTCCTTTTTCCTTTCCTAACTTTAGCAATTTTTCTAATTCCCTTCCACTCACAACTTTATACTTTTTTCCTTTATTTTCTTCTTTTTTACTGTTTTCTCTTTTTGTTTTCTTGTCTCTCAAGATAAAACATCTTTCAGCATTTTTTACTTTCTGTTTTCTCTCTTTTCCTTCTCTTTCTGCACCTTTCTTTCTTTTTTTTCTCTTTCTTTCCTTACACCTATTTTATTCACTTTTTACTCTTTTAACTCTCTTTACTCTCCCTTGTCTTTCCATCTGTTTTCTGAATCCTTTCTTTCCTCTTCCACTGTTTTTTCCCTTTTAACATGTTTTACTCTTTCTTGTTGTACACACTTTCTGACATTCTCTTTCAGAATCGTTTCTTCTCTCTATTTTTGCTTTCCTTTTCATCATGGTTTACCCTTCTTTGTTGTACTCTACTTTTCATTCATTTTTTGTACTTCTTCCTTTCTGCACTGATTAATTTCTTTCCTTTGTTTTCTCACACTCTCCTACAGTATTTTTTATTTGCCTTTCATTTCTTTTTTACTCTTTTTCTTTGCATCCATTCTTCACTCCTCCTTCTCTTTGCCACTTTTTTCTTTTCATTTTTTTGCTCTTGCTTTCCCTTTCTCTTGAAACACTCTTCCCTCTGTTTTTTGCTGTTTGATATTCTTTTATTTTTTTCTTTCTTTATGCCGCCTTTATTTATTTTCCTTGTCCACCTTTTCTTTTCTCTTTCTTATTCATTGATCTTTCCTTTCCTTTATATACATTTTTATTACTTTGTTTTTCTTTCCCCACCCTGGATTTTTTCGCATTGCCTTTATCTTTCACAAATTTCATTATACACTGTTATCTTCTTTCTCTTAATTTGCCCTCTTTTTTAA